AAAAAGTGAAAAAACAGCATAAATTCCCTAAAAATGACCCGATCATGCTGATTTTCGAACTTGACCTGCGTATTATGAATATTCATCAGTTTTGTAAGTTTCAAGGGAAAAGGTAAAATGGTTTTCCACTTATCGTGTTATCGGTGGTGCATATATGCTGAAAAAAGTAAAAAAACAGCATAAATTCCCTATAAGTGACCCGATCATGCTGATTTTCGAACTTGACCTGCGTATTGTGAATATTTATCAGTTCTGTAAGTTTCAAGCCAAAAGGTAACATGGTTTTCCACTTATCGTGTTATCGGTGCTGCATATATGCTGAAAAAAGTGAAAAAACAGCATAAATTCCCTATAAGTGACCCGATCATGCTGATTTTCGAACTTGACCTGCGTATTACGAATATTAATCAGTTCTGTAAGTTTCAAGCCAAAAGAAAAAACAGTTTTCCACTTATCGTGTTATCGGTAAAAGTGCACGGCGACGACGGCGACGGCGACGACAGACGCAGATGATGGCTATATGTACAGACACATCTGTGTCTGTACATAAAAATCATTCCTTACCTGCACGTCAAAAGCACAATTTAAACTCTTTAACAATCTATACTCATTCATCTTTTTTTTCTCTGAATCAGAATTCTCTAAGGTTTACATTATCTACAGTTTTCCATTGGCATTCTTCTCAACTTAATGTCGGGTACTCTAAGACTAATAATACATTAAAATATATTACATGCATTATAACAGAAGGACTGCAAGTCATAAGATATGCCACTAATATAATTTTTAGATAAAGAAAATGGCTGTTTCTGACCTGCTTTCAATTTTCAAAATCATATTGCATTTTTATGCCCATGAAAATGTGATATATGTTACATATTATAACAAAATATATCTATTTGGGGCTGCCCATAATGCTGGGCCTCCTTGCAATTTAATAAATGAATAAATGATTTTATTTATCTATCTATATAGTGTTTACCTTAAATAAACTTTAAAATAATAAACCAGATTACATTTTCACATATTTTGCCATCCATTACCTGAAACTCCTCTCCCTTCTGAGCTGTTTTCTTCTTTTCCTCTATACCCTTGAAAAGTTCCTCACAGCAAATAGGGACAATTCCTGAATGAATAATTGAATTATTAATTAATAAAATAATGACACAAAGTAAGGCCAATAGTTCAACATTTTGGGGTCCTCCAGGCATTTTCATAAAAAATAACCCCATTTCTTCCATCAATGCATCAAAGTCCTCTATATGAAAACTTATAAAATTAGAAGTTTAAGTTGAACACATTGACTATAGTGATGAATGTTATAATCATACTTGAGTAATTCCATCACTTACCTTTATTGTTCCCATATCCTGTCATAGAATAAGACTTCCCAGACCCAGTCTGTCCATAGGCAAATAAACTGCAGTTGTACCCCTTCCACGCATTGTCCAACACAGACTGTCCCAGGTCATTGAATACTTTTCTCTAAAATGAAAATGAAACTACCATGACCAGAACAAAAATCAGTTATGAAAATCAATAACTTTTTCAGCATTTTGGTATTTAATTGCATGTTCAGGTAACAATGTCTAAAAGGAAACCGTTGGTTCTGAATTTTGTGCAAATGTTTAGCAGAACTGCAAGATCTACTTTTTATTTTGAGATACATGTGAAAAAAACTTCCCATTTTAAAAAAGCAAAACGCTTATCTCACAGCAGCCATCAGTGAGTCACTCTAGGCTTCAGACCCTGTGTGCCACTTTATTTTTCAATCCTCATTATTCATGAATCGTTATTTGCACATGGTCCAAGCTGACAGAAGCTCTTTAAATTATCTTGGATTTTCTTAATCTCTTGTAAATGATATTCCCTTATGTGCAGTTTAGTTAAAGTTGTCATAAAACCAGTTAAAGAAAACAAAATGCAATCAAACACCTGTTTCCCTAGAACTAAATTTGAAAGGTAAGTTCACAAAAAATGAATCCCCACCTGATCCGCATATCTGCTTCCTGAGGGCGACAGGTAGCCATCTTGTTCTTCCTTGAACCCGTCATGTGACCAGTAGGAAAAATCAAAAGTGAAAGTCCTCGGCTTTTCTCCCTTGGGCGCAGCAGGGTCCTTTATCTCTGTGGTGTTCCCTTTCATGTCAATAATGAGGACCGCATTGCGCTCCTTTTCCCTTGTATTGTGGGAACCGTTAAGGACATTTACTAAAATGTTGGCTCTAACAGTTTTTTTTTATTATTTCAATTCTTAAAAAATCACATTTTAATTAATGAAATCATTTCTTCAGAACTGACTGAAAAAAAATGAGAGAGCTTCTTCTGACCAGGCAGAAATAAAAATGAAATATGGAAGTTTAACCATATAATTCACAATTTGATAGGATTAGAAAGTACTGTTCTTCATTTCTTATCACAGTAATAACTCACTTTCTGATGTGAGAGTAGTGTTTGTTAAAACCATGGCACAGCAGTAAAAAGGTACGTACAGCAGTAAAAAAATACAAATTTTTATCTTATGTAGTATATTATCATGCTGAAAAATGTAAACTAGATTATTCTGATCAAATACATTTTTAGAAAGACAGATCAGGACCAGTGGAAAAATTAATTTGGCTTTAAAATATCTTATGTAGTAATATGTCATGTAAATATTTTGTCTTAATTAAAATGAGCTGGGAACTTTAGAGGTGAATTTAAAGCAATAATAACTCTTCGTTTTGGCCAAAAAATGAATTTTCCTGGAGGAAACATCAGTTTTCCCATACTTATCAATGGTTAATGAATCCATTTTTACATTCAAAGTTAGTCCCTGGTTTTTTTCTAAAAAGTTTGGTTTTTTGTTAAAATCTCTTAAGAGATTTTAACAGAGTATAGACATCAATGGAGGTCACGTGGTCTAAAGACAAGTTCAGATATCAGAATAATAGCTATAACTGCTGTTTTTGTGGTAAAACAGAATATATTATATTTCTATGAGTTATTCACAAGGTTTTTATTGTGAAATATAGATCTCATATGAAGAGTTATTATCCCTTTAATGTTTGACTTTTAATAAAAAGAACTAAATGCTATAAACAACAGGAATATGTAAGATCAAACATAGTTATTTTTCCAAAATCTATAAAATCTCATGAAGGTTGCTCTATACTCAGTAACTATAATAGCCTCCTTGCAACAATAGCCATAATCAGCGTTATTAGTATTTCCACTCCAATAAATAATATTAAATTTACCTGAAAAAGGTGGTGTAAGAAAGACACCAAAATATTTAAATCAACTGGGTTTCAAATAACTCAACCTTTTTAATCCAACATTTTTATATAAATGTAAAACAAATTTGTTAACTTAACTCAAAGAATTCACTGTACTGAGGTCATAACCTGACATCAATTTTCAAAACAATATTGCTATAACATCATTATTGACTGCAAAAATTCCAGTTAATCTATTTAAACAAGAGCCATAATTTGCTCACAATGATCCTTTATCTATTTAAAGAGGACCACAATATTGACTTCAAAACTTGACAACTGTTGACATTGAACATAAAACTGTTATGCTTTGTTTGTACTGTTACCACAGTGGGGAAGGAATGTTTACTGCACTGCCAAGATAATATACTGTAAGCAATTATAAAATCAGAGCAGAAATGACCATTTGCATCTTTCTTCAACACATATAATGCAAAAACAAGTCTCCAAATGCATCTGTAACTTTCACTGGGATGCTGCTTTGATTAATATTGCTAGTCGTAATAAAGTGCAACCTGACATTAAACTTTCATTATGCAGCATGCTAAACGTTGTATCTTTATACCACACTCTTGGTCGTAAAGTTCGAGATAAGAATTCACTATTAAAGACATAAATGACTCCAAAATACTTTAATTTTGTGACCTACCATGAGACGATAAAATTGACTATTAATATGACTAGAGTTGCGTAATATTCACTTATAAAGTGCCATAAACCAAATCAATGACTTTTCTGAAACTTTTGTATACCTTAGTTACCGTATGGTATCTTATAAGATATTCACCATTTGACCTTTCCACTCATTTCCCAACTGGAGTACACTCTACTCTACTTGCTGAAATATTTGTTAAGTGATTGTGGCAATCTAAGATAACGAAAAAAGGATATAAATGGGCGAACCCTCACTGCAACTCTCACGTTTTCCGCCATATTTGACTTAAAGTTGTGGTGGCTGTTCCATCATTTAAATGGAGTGCTGAATCTAATGAAGAATTCAGTTTAAAGTCTTCGCGCAGTTTTTAGTTTTTAATTTCTAGTTGATTGAAATAAAAAGAACTCACTGATAAAAGAAAACCTTGCTTTAAAATGGGATCTGATAAATTTAGTTATAGGTTCCACATTTGCTTTCCAAGGAGTTTAATGTAGTAATCTTAGTGGGAGGGAAATCAACCATTGGAACGATGCTTTTTAATTAAAATTAGGTCAGCATCCGGGGTACCGAGAAAATGGCTGCGCCCTTGTAGAGCAATGGGTTTAAGGAAATGCATTTTAAAGGCCGGTAGATACAGGTAAAAAAACGCAATTAAAATTGTTCCATATATGTAACTGATTGCTTAAGGTTAATAAGATACGTTTTAAGTAAGCAGTGTATTAAGAGTCATTCTCAAATGGAGGTATTTGAACAAGGGTTGCAAGGTCGTCTGTCACCAATCTCGTCTCTTCGTTGCCCTTTCCCAAGTTTCCTGTCCCTGTCACAACGGGGGCGTCTCGATAGTCCGAAGGTTCATTGGTCTGAAGGTTCATTGGTCTGAAGGTTCATTGGTCCGAAAACTGGTAACATTTTCATCGATTTTTTAATCAAGGGTTCATTGGTCCGAAGGTTCTATAGTGAATATTCGGACCAATGAACCTTCGGAACCCTCGGACTATTGCTACACAGCAATAGAGCCAAATATATTTTAGGATACAGGCAGGGTTTATGATTATTGAAAAAACCGAAAGTGAGTATTTTCCTGCATCACATTTTCACTTATGATTCTATCATTATGATCAGTAAAAACAAAAATCACCTCGAAATTGTTATCGGCTTTAAAATTGAGGGCGTCTCGTTAGTCTGAAGGTTTATATATTGGTCCGAAGGTTCATTCGTCTGAAAAACTGTAACAGTTTCTTCAGTTTTTTAATTGAGGGTTTGTTGGTCTGAAGGTTCTGTAATAAACATTCGGAGCAATGAACCCTCGAAATATTGAACTTTCAGATTATTGCTACGGCCCTTTTTAATTACTGTATATTTCAGGGATGAGATTTTTCCGACAATCAGCTGATTTCCAACTTTTTGGAAGCCCAAAATGCTCATCCCTGATATTTCCCATTGCTAAGCATAAGCACCTTAAAGCAGATTAACAGCTTTCTATTTTTGCCTACCAGAAAGCAATTAAATTTAGTAAAGTATTAATTTTATATATATATATAGACTGGAAGTTTCAGGTGATCTTGAATGCAATTCAAGATATTTACATTTATCTTTGCCTTTGTTTGGTGATAGGACTTCACCCTTATTTTGCCAAAACAACCAAAACTGCAATTTGAACACAAAATGGAAGCGTTAATTATTAAGAGTCTGTGAGTTGCACATACTTCTTAATTCCTCTTTTTACTTACCCTGGTTGCTTCTTTGTAAAATGTGACTTCCATATAATATGTATGAGTAGACTAAAATAGAATTGGCATTGAAGTGTCGTAACACAAAAAAATATGGGCAAAAATCAAACTAGGTTTGTTCCACAAATTGACCATCAGAATGAAAACTGAATGAAATCGAAATTAGCATAATAAAATAAATAAACAAATAAATTGAAGTGATTATTATGATTGATATTAATTCTTGAAGGACTGTCCTTCTAACATGAGCCTACTGAGTGACATCGAGGGGTTTTCCAAGTCAAAGTTGAAACCAGTGCCGACAAAAGTGACCACTGTAGATGGACGACTCCTTCAAGAAGACAAGGACAGCCATGGGAGAACAGTGGTCACAGTACTAGACAAAGGTTAGAGGTCAAGTCTAAGGTCAAAATTCAAGTTGAAGATATTCCTAATTTAAAGAAAAAGAAATTTATATTAAGGCTTTGAATGTTATGATTAGCATTTTGGAAAAAATGTAGAAATCTAACCAACTGGGTGTTTTGGTTCTTATTTTTTCTATTTTTATTTTTATTTTTTTAGAATTCATATTGACTGTATCAGCCATTTGTACTCTAAGGGGTCATTCCCATTGAAACTATTATTCTACCAAGATCAATCCAACTCTGCGGGGATTCTCACAGAATTCAATCAGGTTAACAAATAAACAAGCGTCCTCTTGTTGCCATTGTACTCATATAATTAGTTTTACTCAGTGCCAGTGCCTTGTTAGTCTGTTAATCTGATTGTATTCAGCGAGAGTCCCTGCAGCTTAGGATCAATCTATGTAGAACCAAAGTTTAATTGGGAATGAGCCCTTAGACTGTAGATTAGATTGTAATTATTTTTCTGGATTTCTGACAAACAGATGTGGATGTTGATCCTTTCTTGAACTTCTTTTATTGCACTTTGCAGGGAAACTAGGTTTTGTTGGAGACACAAAGAGAGACTTGCAGGTTGCAGAAATCCTCCCAGGTGTTGTGATGGGTACGTTTGCAGGTTTTATGTGGTACAGATTGTATAAAACATTTCACAAGACTAAAATGGCACTTGTTTTCTGGGTCATGTTTGTTTGGGTTTAAGAGATACCTGTCTTTGATGTTGATGAAGATGTAGGCTGGATTTAAGTCATGTTTCAGCCACATTTAAATATTTTGTTACAGTAGACTTATTAGGCTGGACTGTCTTATTCTGAAAGTTTGATTCTTGTGTTATTAAGTCAGCTTTCCCTTACATAAATTGATTTCAATATTAGACTCATAGATTTGCTGCCTTCAGCTGCCTTGTTCGTCATTGTTGTTATGTGTAATTTTTCTCTGTCAGCATTGCAGACCTTTCATGTTATTCAAATCTTTAGCAAAGCACCACTATTTTGGGTGTCAATTACATACATAATTGAAATTTGGTAGTGACGATACTTTCAATTATTTTACTATATTGCATCAAAATTGAAAAATACATGTTTTGTGCCCTTCCTCTATTAAATTGTTTGTCAGTCATTTTAAGACTGTTTAAATGTCACTGTTTCATCCGTTTTGACATTTGTATGGTTGAAGAGAATGCATACATACAAATTATAAGTATCTCATTTATTTTAAATTGTCCACAGTCTGAAACTGCTTCTACATCCTTATGCGATCCTGGTGAACCCATGTATTGTTTTCCTCATTCAGATATTGGTTAGGGATAACATAGAGAACTAATTTTATATTTTGTTTCACTTTAGATTTTTTTATAAAGACTGCACAAATTACAAAAAAAAAAAAAAAAGAAAAAGAAAATTGTAGTTGTACTATATTGTTTCTTTCAGGCTCCCAGGATGTGGCCCAAGACCTGGAACTGCTGCTCCAACACAAAGTGACCCACATTTTGAACCTGGCCTACATGGTGGAAAACCAGTTCCCCGATCAATTCCAGTATCTACGTCTCAATATTCTTGATCTCCCAGAGACTGATATCACAGATTTCTTTGATGAGGCATTTTCTTTTATAGACCGAGGGCGTCAAGAGGGCTGTGTTCTTGTTCATTGCAATGCTGGAGTTTCACGCTCAGCAGCCATGGTTATAGGATATCTTATCAAAACAGAAGGGTTGACTTTCGAAGAAGCTTTTGATCATGTTCGTGAACAGCGTGCCTCAATCCGTCCCAATGATGGATTCACAATACAACTGAAGCATTATGAGCTCTCCCTTGCAAAGAATTTGGAGAAATAGATACTTTGTGATGATGTTGTTACATATGCTGTTCAGATAGGATTGATGCTATATACAGATATTTCTTTGCCAAAGTAGCTAAACTTCAATTTCATACGTACAAAAAAAAAAAAAAAAACAATCATGAAAACTTTTTACTGGATGATTCTTTCCTAATTGGCATACTGTAATTGAAATATTTGAAACAAAAAGCATATAAGTGCCACTTATATCAAGATGAGCTATACTAGTAAACGGCCTTATGGACTATCAACCTCTGACTACCAAACTTCATAAGAGTTTTGAGTCCCTTTTTGGCAGCAAAGCGAAAAATGCACTATCTGTTTAGCAACCCTAGTGGAAACAAGAATAATTACATACAAACTGATGTTAGTTAGAGAAGTTGTGGCTAGATGGCAATACTGCTGTGTTCCTTGTGGCAGTGAGTGGTATAACTTCAGTTTCTGCCAAAAACAGCCTGCTTGCTAGCGGCTCTTTGTCTACGTGATTGAAAGTTTAAACTTCTGTGTAGGAAAAAAGGGGGTAAATAATCAAGTACATGTGAAATTCAGGGTCATTTTTTATCTCTATCATGCCTTTCAGTTGAAAATCTGCATTCAATTTGGAATATGTTTTTTGGTGTTTTTGTTAAAAGCTTCTTGCTAAATGCACATTTGCCAAGTTTATGCATTGACATGTACCTTATACTTCTTTCATATTGATTCATGTTTATTTTTGTTGTTATTGTACTGTTTAACAATGTGTATACAAACGGATATTTATGTCCCATATTATTAGTTATACAAACTAGACTTTATACAGCCCTTAATGAACAATCAAGTTGCTATGAGCTCTGGTACATCCCATATGAGGAACTTCTTGTAATTTTTGGATATGAGAATACAGAGGAAAACAAGGAGGGGAATCAAATAAGATACACAGCCATGTTTAGTGCAATTTTCAGTTCTTTTGAAAGTGAGAGCCGGTTCAGCAAATTTATCTCTTATTTATGATCTGATTGTGAAAAAGACATGAAAACATTTACAAGCAAGTTAATATTTCTTTACTGTGCTTTCAATGTTTACAAGTCAGTTTGTTTTTTTTACTGCGCTTTCTACATTATTATTATTATTATTGACATCAAGAATAATGTTAATACATCTGCAGATTATAGGTAAAAGTTTTTATATGAATGTCATTTATGAAAGGGTACTCTTTTAATAGTTGTTATTTATTCATATGCCCACCACCAATGCTATTGCTGTTTTTTTTTTCTGAAAGGTTACACATCCCCCTCACGTGCTCTGAATTTTATCTGCATTGCACTCTTTATTATTTAAACTGTTATAATTCAGTTGCAATATAAACACAATTGTATTTTCTTTATCATGTTTTTTGTTGGTTCCTTTAATCTAATTTTTTAAAAGTGCCGTAAGATTTCCGATTGGAAACTTATTCACTGAGCTGCAAAACCTGGGAAATATCAAAACTGTGCTGGCTTTTGCACAAGTACTGTGCCTTTTGAAGTGCATATTTCTTGCTTTTGTTTGCTTTTAATTAGAAAGCATTTGAGAAG